TATGAGATTTTTCATATAACTTGTATTATTTTATTAAGAAAGAATAAAATAATGAATGCATATATAAAGGAAGAAAACTTATGTTTTAGGTTGTATATAGAGGGAAAAGAGGTCAGGGTATTTCAGGTGAACCAAGTTATCCAACTAGCCCAAGAAATAAGTGAGATACTCATACTATGGTATAGAAAATAATAATACTTTATATAATTTCAACCTTATATTTTATATGTTTGCAATAACATTAATCTCAGTGTCATTACATATTTAGTTATTATTCATCAGGTATTTATTCCAATTACATTTTTTTTTATAAAATGCGACGTATATTAAAGAGATAAATGAAAGGCTATGAGATAAGTCACATATGGGGGATAGGCCTGCACAAGTAAAAATGAAAGACTCGATGAGGTAAGCCTTATGGATGCTGGTAATGTTAGGTGCTGCTATGATTGCTGAAATGTCGTCAAACAATAGTATTTGTTAAAATTGGGAATTCTAAAATTTGTCTTGATGTTGATGGTGCTAGCTACTACTATAGTTACTATTTATATGCTAAAATTGGTGTGTACTGAAATTAATTTTTGGAATTTAGAACATGTGTTGATTTAATTGCTAAAGTCAGTGTAGTTATTGCATAAATCATGGTTTGTGTGCTGAAGTTAGTAAAGGGAGAGATCAAGGTTACTGTAAATTGCTGAAATCAACAGTAATTGCTAAAATAACTGAGAAAAAGGAAGAGGAAAAGCTAAGAGTATGTAAGGGCATTATTGTTTGTTGATAGTAAGTAGTGGTGGTTATTAGCCTTTGCTAAAATGTTAATGCGGTTGTTGAAAATAACAGCTGAACACATAAAAAAGACAAAATCAGTGGGCTATTGACGAATTCATGAAGGAAAAAGAAAAGAGAAAAGAGAAGAAGGGAAGTGAGGGTAAGAAGTTAGGAGAGGAAAAAAAGAAAAGTTTAGATTTAATAGACCTCGGGTAAGACTATGAGAATTTTTATATAAATTGAATTATTTTATTAAGAATAAATAAAAGAATGAATGCTTGCATAAAGAGATAAAACTTATGTTTTAGGTTATATATTGAAGGAAAAGAGGTCAGTGTATTTCAGGTGAACCAATTTATCCGACTAGCCCAAGAAATAAAGTGAGATACTCAAACTATGGTATAGAAAATAATAATACTTTCTATAATTTCAACCTCATATTTTATATGATTGTAATAACATTAATCTCAGATCCATTACATATTTAGTTACTGTTCATATGGAATTTATTGCAGTAACATGTTTTTATAAAATGTGATGTATATTAAATAGATAAATAAGAATGCTATAAGATAAATCATATATGTGGGATAGACCTACACAAGTAAAGATGAAAGACTCGATAAGATAAGCCTTAGGGATGCTGGTGATGTTAGCTGCTGCTATGATTGCTGAAATGTGGTAAGGCAGTAGTGTTTGTTGAGATTGGGAATTATAAAATTTGTCTTAATATTAGTGGTGCTAGATACTTCTATAGTATTGTTTGCATGTTGAAATTGGTGTGTACTGAAATTAATTTTTGGAATTTAGAATAGGTACTAATTTAATTGCTAAAGTCAGAGTAGTTATTATTAAAATTATGGTTTGTGTGCTGAAATTAGTAAAGGGAGAGATCAAGGCTACTGTAAATTATTGAAATCAACTATAATTATTAAAATCACTAAGAAAAAGGAAGAGGAAAGGCTAAGAGTATGTAAGGGCATTATTGTTTGTTGATACTAAGTAGTGGTGGTTGCTGACCTTTGCTAAAATGCTGATGTAGTTGCTTAAATAACACATGAAAACAATAATGAGACAAATTAAGTGGCTTATTGATGAATTCATGAAGGAAAAAAAAAAGAGAAATGAGAAGAAGGGAAGTGAGGGAAAGGAGTTAGGATAGGAAAAAAAGTTTATATTGAATAAACCCATAGGTAAAACTATGAGAATTTTCATATAACTTGTATTATTTTATTAAGAATGAATAAAAGAATGAATGCATATAACAAGGAAGAAAAGTTATGTTTTGGGTTGTATGTAGAAGGAAAAGACGTTAGCGTATTTCAGGTGAACCAAGTTATCCAATTAGCCCAAGAAAAAAAGTGAGATACTCAAATTATGGTATAGAAAATAATAATACTTCCTATAATTTCAATGCCATATTTTATATGATTGTAATAACATTAATCTCAGTTTCATTATGCATTTAGTTACTGTTCATCTGATATTTATTGCAATAACATTTTTTTTTATATAAAATGTGACATGTATTAAAGAGATAAATAAAAAGGCTATGAGATAAGTCATATATGTGGATAGACGCACACAAACAAAGATGAAAGTCTAATGAGATAAGCCGTATAAAAGGTGCCCTATATATTTTCTCAATTCTAAAGTTGTGATTTTAGACCCAGTTTTAAATGAGATAGGAACCCTCACTTCTAAAAGTTGAAAATGTGATCCCAACTTTGAATTAGAGAGCTCCAAGTGTGTAAAAACCTATAGTCATTATATGACTTTCCTAAGTGTTGAATAATAAACAGAATAGTACATGATATTTTTATACATCGTACACTTATTATAGAAATAATAATATCATTTTTGATTGATTATAAACATATTTTAATGTCATATACATTACACTACAGGAAAATCGGCAATTATCGCCGGAAAGCAGCCGGTGTTACCTTATAAACCGCCAGAAAAAACCGCCGGTATTGGCTATTTTTCCTGTAGTGTTACTTGTTTATTTCATTGAGCTTTAACTCATTATCAGTATTTGTACTATAGAAAATGGGGAGGAGCCAAGGGGACCTTAGGCAAGAAGATGATTGCCCTTTTTGTATACATGTATTTTGGGTATACAATGAGGTCATAGTAGAAGATGCACAGACAAATTTTTGGGTTTGTAAATAGTATTGAAGTTTAGTAAGCTTTATGTTTTATTTGATGTATTTTATATATACTTAAAGTTATAAATTATTGAATTCAAATTATGAATTAATTGATGTATTGGGATAGTCTGGATAGATTATTTTATGTTCACTTAATCATGATAAAAGAATTTCAGGATGCGTGTAAGAGATGTGTCTCTCCAGACTCTTCTTCTCTGTTACACTCCAAATTGGTAGTAAGAAGAGTTAAAAAGGGGTGTGACATTAGTTACACATACATTGCATCACATCATTTCCCCTTTATGAAGGCTTTCTATTTTTTTAGGATATTCACTCTCAGGATTCACCAATGAGGGTAATATAGCAATATTATTTATTTAATCAAAATCCTCTCAAAGTATATATATTTTATGATATGCATCTAACCATACTTATTGCATAGAAAACTTTAAGCATAATTCATAGTAATTAATACCTTGATTTTGAGCTACAACCAATGCATGTTTATATGAGAGGCTTGTCACATCAAAATTTCTACATGAATATGTCCTTTCATGTAAATCAATATTTCTATTAAGATCATCATCAAATACATATTTCAAATGAAAACTTGGTATATCAAAAAAGAACACATACTTACATGCAACGACCCATATAAGATAAGAGTTATCCATATATTTTTCATATTATGTATTGTTTCTCTCAGCCCCAAGATATGTGAGAAATCAAAAGCCGTCACTTGTTTATTAGTTTTAGATAATTCACAAAGTATGGTTATAATCTCCAATGGATGCTTTACTAATGAAACATTAATGGAGCCACCAACATCAACATCTTATATGTCTACAACATCACCTACTTTTACATCTTATTGTATCCACAACTTCACATACAATAAGAAATGATGGTGGACCGGCTAACCTTGCATTTTCCTCATTTACATGATAATATGTAGTTGAAATCTTTTGGCTCAACTTTAACCTTGCTTCAGCTGATTTTTATATTCAAATTCAATTAATCACTTTATTGTTTAAATTTATTATGAAAAATTAATATACTCTATTAAGATATGTTTGCAAATTTTATTCAAGTTTTTTTTAAACCATTAGCGGGAAACACCTGACATGGAATTTTCAAAATTCAAGAGGGGGGCACATGCCCACCTAGTCCCCACTGCACATATGGAAGATTGATGTCAAATGTATATGGATATCTCATTCAAAATGCAATGAGGATCATAGTTTGTTAATGTTTCCATTGGAAGATTGTGATGGTCCAGTAATGATGGTTGAGAGATGACAGATGGAAGATGAGGATCATCAACATCGATTAATTGAAATTGTGCAATAGTTCTTAAATTTTGAAGCTCTCTCCAATTTCAATTTTAGGTCCAAACTCCCCCTCTTCATGAACAAAATTGGGGTTTATTTATAGTTTTTAAGGTGAAATTTTAGTTATTAGGTCAATCTCTCAAAAAACTTTATCAGATGAATCATATTAATTCATTTGACTATATACTATTATTTCAACATTTAAGCCTCTTAATGACCTTGGAATCGAGTGATTGTTGGATTTTCTTGTCCAGATGCTCAATTGAATATACACATGCAAGATGCGAGGATCATTTTATCCTCTAATTAATATACCAAAGTTTTCAACCATCTTTCTATTATTTGATTTGAGCTCATTTGGGTCAAATCTAATCACTTTTTGTGTCATTAGATTTATCTCATTGAAATATTCAGTCCAATTATAAATTTTTTTTATTAAAAATATAAATTTATTGAAATTAAAATTCAAATAAAACTTAAATTTAATTTCAAAGGCTTATGATTTAAATATGTTTTTAATCAAATATCATTGTGATATCCACATTCAAATTTTTTCTATTTATTCAAATTTTAATACTAATCTTCTTGAGGAAATCAAATCCAAAACAGTGTTTGCTGTCCTGAACCTCACAGCCGTCGCCCCACGTGATCATAATAATTACGTTTCCTTAACGGCACCTCATTTTTCCACCCCATAAAAAAACGCCGCCTCTTCTTCTTCTTCTTTGAATATCTTCCTTCCCTTGTATTTCCTCTGCTCTTCCATGCTGAAGAAAGCTTCGATAACGATGAACAAGCAAGAAGACATTTCCACTAAGAATTACTTACTTCCTAACTTCACTAATGGATTCCCAGGGTTCAGAGATAGCATTAATACTACTATGAAGAAAGTAATGGAAGGGGGAAATGAGGAAGAAGAGAAGAATGGCAGCAGCGTTGGGAAGAAGAAAGGGGAGAAGAAGGTGAAGAGGCCGAGGTTTGCTTTCCAGACAAGGAGCCAGGTTGATATTCTCGACGATGGCTATCGTTGGAGGAAGTATGGCCAGAAAGCTGTCAAGAATAACAAGTTTCCCAGGTACTTGTTTTAATTATTATTCATTCGTATTCTTTTCTATCCTATAAGGATAAATTGGTCAATCTACTAAGATTTCCTTAGTTGAACTTTGCATCATTTAGTGGTGTTTGTAATAGTGATTTCGTTATAAGTGATGATAGCTTCATGGTACTTTGATGGATTTCTATGTACCTACAACAGTAAAAAGCTAGTACTGTATCCACCATTTTTATACTGCCGCTAAAAGGAAATTAATCATATTTTTTCTTGGATGGATGAACTGTTACTAAATACCATTTAATCACAGTTAGAAAGTATGACTAATGTTCATTTGAGTACTATTATTAGATATGCAAGCTATAACAATATTTTATCTAAAGATGTGACAAAATATTAAGCTTTTTTATTTAATTTTCACCTCTTAGCCACAAGTTTTTTTGGATAGAATGTTATAAATGGAGATCAACATTAGTAGCAAGCACTATAGTCAAATCATTTTAAACCAAAGATTTAAGCTTGAAGGAGAGAGAGATGAACAATCTAATAGTATTTTTAGGACTAGTTTATTTTTCATCTATCAAATATACATTATGGTACTACTCTCACATACCCTTTATCGATTTTATCCTAAAAGTTGGTTTGTAAATAAGCCTGCATGGCTCATTTCTTGGTATGATAAAATTTGGTTCCACAAGTTAGTACTAAGAATCAACTCATTTACATTAATGAGATATGGTGGGATTGGAATTTTTTACTCTTGAACTATACTAAACCTTAGTAGAAAGCAATAAAAACTCATGATGAGAGTCAAATTCCAAGTGAACCACTCGATCCCAATGTAACATATGTTATTATAACACTTATAAATACATGAATAGTAAGCAAAGTCCAAAGTTGGGCTTTATGTACAACTGCAAATCCATCTTTAGATAAAAAACTTAAGCCTACAACATAGAATCATTCACATGGAATTTTAAACTAAATAATAGAGTAGAATCATGCACTTTATTTTTTTAAACTCCATATATACTTTTTAGTTATCCAATATAAGATTTGGCAGCTATTTTTTTCTGCTATGCTTTTCTAGTTGAGCTTTGCATCATTTGGTGGTGTTTGTAATAGTGATATCATTATAAGACATGATAACTTCGTGGTACTTTGATGGATTTCTATGTACCCTACGACAATAAAAAGCTAGTATTATATCCACCATTTTTATACCGCCGTTAAAAGGAAATTAACCATTTTTTTTTCTTGGATGGATGAACTGTTACTAAATGCCATTTAGTCACAGTTAGAAACTATGACTAATATTCATTTGTGTAATATTATTAGATATGCAAGCTATAACAATAGTTTATCTAAAAATGTGACAAAATATTAATCTTTTTCACTTTTAACCTATAAGCCAAAAGTTTTTTGTGATAGTGTTATAAATGGAGATCAACATTAGTAGCAAGCACTATAGTCAAATCATTTTAAACCAAAGGTTTAAGCTTGAAGGAGAGAGATGAACAATCAAATAGTATTTTGAGGACTAGTTTAATTTTATCTATCGAATATATAGTATGGTACTACTCTCACGTGCCCTATCACAATTTTACCATAAAAGATAGTTTGTTAATAAGCCTGCATGGCACATTTCTTGGAAGGATAAAATTTGGTTCCACAAGTTAGTACTAAGAACCAACTCATTTACATTAATGAGCTATCGTGGGGTTGGAGTTTTTTGCTCTTGAACTATACTAAACCTTAGTAGAAAGCAATAAAAGTTAACTCATGAGAGTCAAATTCCAAGTGAACCACTCGATCCCAATGTAACATATGTTATTATAACACTTATAAAAACATGAATACTAAGCAAGGTCCAAAGTTGTGCTTTATGTACAACTACAAATTCATCATTAGATAAAAACCTTAAGCCTATAACATAGAATCATTCACTTGGTATTTTAAACTAAATAATAGAGTAGAGCCATTCACTTAGATATTTTTAAACTATTATATCTTTTAGTTATCCAATATGAGATTAAACTGGTATCTCACTTATCTTAAATTTGTTACTAATGGATCACAATTTATTTGTGGGAGGCACAGAATCTTTCTAACAAGATTTGCTATAAAAATGAGAGTTTACAAAAAGGATAGAGAGAGAGAGAGAGTGGTGGAAAGCTCCAAATTTTTTATTATCCAAAAGTAGATAAGCCATGTCCCAAGCACTGCTCTCTAACCCTTTGTTTATAGGTAGAGTATCGACATAACTTTATAGGAATGTTACATTAAGGAGTGTGTATAAACAACATATTAAAAGCTTAGTAAGTGATATCCATAAAATAAAGGCTTGCTAGATATTTTTATCTTATTAAATTAAATACATATTAATGTTTTAAAATAAGGAGTAGTCAGCTTATTTAAAGTCATTGATTGACTATAATAGGCTAACACAAGTTCTAGTGAGAAGAAGCCATGCTAAGCTATTTGTATCAATTAATTCATCTTGAGGGATGAGTTCATTAGGATAATTTATTCATCCTATGGGTTGAGTTCAACTTGAGGGCCAAATTCATCCTAAGGGTTGACCTCATCCTAAGGGATGAGTTCATTTTGAGGACTAAGATTATCTTAAGTGGTCGAGTTCATCCTAAGAGCTAAGTTCATCTTGAGGGTTAAGCTCATCTTGAGGTACTGGTTCATCTTGAGATTGAGCTCTCTTTAAGTTGGCCTTCATTGTTTTATGAGTTGAACTTTTCTTTGTTGACTTCAAGGCTAAGATGAGTTGAAGGTCGTATTCTAACTTGTTCTGCCTAATCATATATGTTAGTTTTTTATTTTTTATGTCTCTTTTATGAAACTACTAATAATAAGAAAATTAACATCTTGAAACTAATTTACTCAAAATAGCATAAAAAAATAAGCCAAGTAAAAATATATACAAGGATGCATAAAATAGTGATATAATAAAACTATATACTTAGTAGAGAAATATCTAAGAATGTGTCATGTAGAAATGAATCTAAGCTTGAACATGAATATGTATGTGATAAATGAGAATATATAAAAGAAAGATTTATAATTAATGAGAAAATATGTTTTTATCTCACTACTAAGTCTCACACATCCTAAATCCTTGACTTAATCTTTGAATAAGTCATTGTCTTAGATGAGCCTCTTTTATGCCAAAGCTTTGGTCACTAGGTAGCCATATAGTCTTATCGCTTAGAAGAAATGTCTCCTTCTATCGTTTTGGATGAAGTATGTGGCATAGGTATTGACCTTTTATCGTTTTGGTACGAAGAACTTTTATCATAATTATTGATTTGTACAAATTTGAGAAAAAAAAATTAGATTGGTCTAAGTAACTTATGATTAGAAGAATTTCACCAGTACTTGTTGAGTTCCTTGTGAGAGTTATTTCTTGGCGATAAAGTTTTGGTTTTCCATCCTTAATGATTCTCTTATTTTAGTTTCTTTTTTCTATTTTGTAATTGCAAATGTCGGCTTTTGGTCCTTGCAATAATCTACACTCACCACGTCTTAGAAGATGTTAGATCTAAATTTATTTATGGGCGACACTTAGGCCTTATCAGATAAGATTGGCTAAAATATAAGAGAGAGAGAGAGAGAGAGAGAGAGAGAGAGAGAGAGGAGATAAGATCTATGATTATTTATTATAAGAAAGTTGAGAACTTGGGACAACAAGTTCTCTGACCTCCAATTTATAGTTAGTAGAAGTATGACTATATAAGAATGGTACATTAAATGAATTTGTATATATGCATGATAAAAGCCTAACAAAAATTTGCCATAAAATAGAGGTTTGCTAGCTATATTTATTTGATTGCATTATGCTTCATGTAATGTTCATAATTGCAACATTTGAAATTCTTTGAAACTATATAAATTTTATGATTTTATTGATAATGGCTAAGCATTAAGCCTATAAATAGAATAGAAAATGAACCAATTAATCTATATTAGATGACATAAATACTATATTGTTCAAGCATTTCTCTAAAGAAAAAAAAAATATTCTTAGAAAAGAGTATTAACAAAAAACATCTAAACCTATATATTATCCGCATAAGAAGAATTGTTGTATTATTTTATGCTCAATGTATTACAAGAAATTCTTTACCCCTTTGTAGTCAATAAGAAGATATCATTAGCATCAATTAAAAAACTATATATTAATGTTACTTTGCAACTTAATTAATGAATAATTTGTACATTAGGTTTGATAGATATTTAACTACTAATTAAATTTCATTAAAAAAAGAAGATCCAGTAATAAAATTATACTAAATATCATATTTTGTTTGGTCAAAAAAATTCATTTGAATTCAGTGCTATTTCAAAGATAAATTAATAATGATTTTTTTTTCTTTCATAATGATGAGCGATAAACTATAAAGTATATATTGTGAATCTATGCCTTTGAAAAAATAAACTTTAATTAGGTTTAAGTTTCATTTGAGACGGCTTTTTTATTGCTTCTTAAAACAGCTTTCTAATACAAACTTTTTAATTTTTTTACTAAAAAGCTTCTTTAAGAAGCAGTAAGAAAGCCGTCCCAAACGAAGCCTTATCCTTAATTTCATTTAGACGGACCAATCGATACTCTCTCAAATGAAAATATGTAATTCTCTTTCGATTGGCCCATGCACCTAAGTAAAATATAGCCCTATTTTATTTTTACTGCAAGTTTATTTTAGAAGTATGATAATGTTCCTCAACAAATTATCTCACAAATTAGGCTATCTCCAATTATTAGAAATCATTCATTTGCATACTTGATAGATGAAAAAAAAATATTTTTTAAGTTTTATAAATTTTTACCTCATGTTATTTTTACTGATATAGATAAAGGTGACAATCTAGATTTTTGTTTCACTATTAAAATATAATATTAAATAAGTAATAGAAACCCACAGAGGGGCCTACGCATTAATATAAAAAAAGGGTACAAAGTCCCTAGAAGGAACCTCCAGCTCGCTAATGCTCAAAAGAGCTACAAGAGAAAAAAAAAAATTAAGAGCCGGTGATTCCTTAGTCTAAGAGTACAAAAAAACTTAGGTACAGTCTAGGGCTGCAAGAAGACAGCTCCCAAAAAAAGGAAGCAAAAATTAATATCATTCAGCACGTACTTCCTGCAAAAAGAGAAGATTCCCTTCGAAGGGTCAGAAGTCACGAACACCCTGCAAAAGCTCACAAGCCAATTTTCCTGGCACCCAATCTGAAAAAAGAAGAAACTCCAATACCAAAAGAACATCAGCAGACTTAGATGTATGTTGAAACTTTCTAAGTAACCATTGGTAGATGAAGACCATGCAAAAAAAGAAAAAAAAAAAAAGAAGTTTCTCCATCTATATATATATAGTCTTTAGAAACTTTTTCAAATATTGATTGAAGTGGTAAGCTGGATGTTAGATTTACGTTGTTATTGCTAATCCTTTTTATCTGTTACTTCAGAAGCTATTATCGTTGCACGCATGAAGGTTGTAATGTCAAGAAACAAGTTCAGAGACTATCGAAGGATGAAGGAATTGTGGTTACGACATATGAGGGAATACATTCTCATCCTACTGAGAAAAACAGTGACAACTTTGAGCAGATTTTGAGCCAAATGAAAATCTACACTAGATCTTAGGCTCTGTACATTTGGGACAGCTTCTTTACTGTTTTCTAAAGCATCTATATATCAAATACAAAAAAAAATTCTGGAAAGCAATAAAAAATTAATAATCAAAAGCTGTCTCAAACGATGCCTTTGGCTTCGTTTGGGACTGCTTTTTTATTGTTTTCTAAAACGGAGTTTTAGTACAAAATTTTTTAATTTTGTACTAAAACTCCGTTTTAAAAAGCAATAAAAAAACCGTCCCAAATGAAGCCTTAGTTTCATTTGCATTTCAGCTATCAACTCGTGCCTTGTATAATGGCCTCTTGTTGTAGTACTATTGCTTTATTTGTAAAGTAAGCCTTTATTTTAAAATGAAATTATCATAATGATTATATATGTTTGCACTGCTGGAAAATCAATCATTACCGGTGGTAATTTCTGACGGCTTAGATGGAGTTTCCAGTGGTTTGCAAAATTTCTATTAGTTAATAAACAGTCAGTATAAATTGCATAGGAAATGAAAACCGACAGCTATTTTCTGGCTGCTAAAACAACCAGAAATTAATGAACCCAAAATCACGGGTAAACCGCCGATAACTTCCGGCGTGAAAACCGCTGGTTTATTACTGGCAGTTAGTTACCGTTGGTATTTTTGGTGGCTTGGCCGCCAGTTATTACCAGCGGCAAAATAAAAAAAAAAAACTGGTGGCACTTGAAAGCGGTATGGTATCGAAGTTTCTGGCGGTCAAACCGTACCGCCGGTTAGCCGCCAAAAACCTATATAAAATTTTCTATAGAATTGTATTTTCCTATTTTTTTTTGTCATGCGTTGGAAATTATAAAATAAATATATATTATCATGTGCTAGTATAAATTTTTATACAACCTGCTGCAGTATGTTAGTAGCTCTACGAAATTATACAAAAGAGAAGTGCAGAATTTTTATTTTTTATTTTTTGAAAATGTATGAAGAGAAAAGTTTCACAGTGCTTCTCTCAATTACAAAAAATATGCTATTTGTTGAAGTATATATAATGATGGCCTACCTAAGTGTGTAGTTGCAAGGATTTTCACTACAAAAATTAGGTTTTTGCGCTAAGATAATCTGTAGCAAACTTTGCTGTAACAGCCAATTTGCTATAGATTATCTTATCACAAATTCTGCGACAAAGATATGATGTTTGGCAAAACTCATTTGCCACAATTATGTGTTGCAAATAGGACGAGAACAAGTTCTTTTAGGTGAACTTTTGTGACAGTATCTGTTTACAAAACTAGTCAGCAGTCGCAAAGCCCTATTGACAGAAAGCTTCCATCCAATTTATGATTTTCACGCTTGTTATCATACAAAACAAATGGCAAATATATGTAGCATATTCACAAAGTATGCAATACCCAAACAAAATGTTTATGTAAGAAATGTTAAGCTTGTAGAACAATCAAATAATATTTAGATATTTCTAATAAATACAACAATACAACTTTATAATGCAGATAATAAATAGAATTAGATATTTCATAAATTAAAAAAAAAAAACAAACTAGTTAGTTAGGTCGTCGTCATCATCATCCTTAGGGTCGCCATGTTACTTAATTAAGTATATATCGAACAATCTCCTTAACCTCTTGCCATGTTACAGGTTCGCGGTGATACTAGCTCCCTTTGATTCTTTGTGATTTGGGCATAAACCAACTTCCTTTCTTAGCATGCATGACCTTCAAAATCATACATGAGGTCCTTGATCAATAGTCATGTTGCATCCATCCATATTTAGGTTGAACTTTTTTTTTTAAAAGGGGAAACCCCAAAAGGGGCTTACGTGTTAATTAGGAAAAAAGTTACAAGGTCCTTAAAGAGGACCTTCAGCTCACTACTACTCGAAAGAGCTACAAAAAAATTCAAAAATAAACCTATGAGCCAATGGTCCCCTGTACTACAAAATACAAAATAACCTAAGAATATTCTAGGCCTGTAAGAACCAGGATTCAAAAAAGGAAGAAAATTGAAATACTTTCGGCTCCGTCTTTGAACAAAAAACTCGCAATCCTCAATCCCTTTAATATGCAAAAACAACATGCTACAAAGCAAACAATAGGATGACAATAATAAAGCAAATATAAAATAAATCAAAATTAAAATGAAAAGGATATGTAGTTGATATAACCATGCAAGACGGTACCCTCAGTCTGATCCAAAAAAACAACACAATTCTTGCAATACTCTATAGCAGTAGTAGCCCAAAAGCAAGAAAAGTTAATCAGGTAAGCACAACAACATAAAATCCAAGGGCTGGAATGGGAGAAAGGAAATTCCTTAAGATGAAAACCAATTATAGGAACAAACACAACAGCATAATAGCCAAAATGTATAATACTCCCAGGATGAATCAACAACCAGTAGCCGGTCCAAATCACCAGGCAACAATCGGTCCAAATAGTAAGGGTAAGGTAATAGCTCTTGTGAATGAAACCCACAGCAGCAACAAAACTAGAAATCAAATTAAATAAACAACCATGAATCAATGACAGCCAACTGCTTATCCAATAACCAAAGGAAAGGTGGTAGTTATTGTGAGGAATACCTGCACCAGCAAGGAACCCAAAATGCAGAACAACTAAACACCTAGTAAACAATAGTAAACCGGTCCCACTGATAATAATAAAAGCTTGATGCTTGACACCCAAAGTGCTATAATAAAGTGTAATCAAACCCCTATTAACCCACATAAAAGTCCAATTATAAAGTCTAGCCAAAGCAACTAAGCAGTAACCCAGGTATAAATCGGAACGACCCTTGAGAAAGTCTTCGGGATAGAATTTTAGAGCGTCCAGGTAGTCACAGCAGAAATAGAGAGTAATGAAAGCAGTGAGCTTGAAAACATAAATAAACACATAGTTTGGATGCATGGTGCCAGTCTCACCCAAGAGAATCATTCTAAGCTCATGAAAATCCAACCATTAGCATCCAGCGGCCAGCAAGAACTCAAACAATAAACCATCAAAAACATATATAACAATATAACAAAACAGAACAGAACATGATAACATAACAAACAAAATAGGCATGGCAAACCAATCAATAACCCAACAGACCAAAAACATCAAACCAGCTAATGAGAACAAATATAAGGAAGACCCATATGGTCTAATCTAGCAAGCCCTAATTTAGGAAGAGTATGCTCATCATACTCCACAAAATTATCTAAATTGCAACCCCATTTAGCAAGAGAGTAGGCAACCGCATTCCTTTCTCTTAAAATATGGGAAATTTAAAAGGATATAAGAGAAATGCAATGTTTAATATCTCTGAGCCTATAGAAATTAATTGGATTGGTAGAGGAATTACCATTGATGTAATGGATTATTAGCATAACACCCACTTCAATCCATAAATTAGTGATGCCAAGAGAAATACTAAGTTGAATCTCAAACAAGAGGCTTTCAAGCTCAGCTTGAACCGCAGTAGTAGCATTAGAAAGATCCGCAAAGGCCATAAGGACAACACTATTGGAATCTCGAATAATACCACCACAATCTGATTTAGTATTATTGTTGGCACCATAAGTATTGAGTTTAAAACACCCCACCTCAGGTTTAGTCCAGTAAATAACCCTATTATTACAGCCAATAGTAGGAGGGAGAAAATTCAACCCAAACTCACTAGCAAGGTGATGATAACCTTTGAAAGAGTCAAACTTTAAAAACTTCGCAACAAAAAGCTGATAAATTTTATTCTTAATTTTGGAGATAATAAAGTAAGCATCAATTTTGTTGTTCTCATATATAGAAGCATTTCTACTACTCCAAATAAACCAACAAATCATGACATGAAGAATATTACAAATGTGGTCTTTAGCAGTAGTAAACCATTCATTGAAAACATTAGTAATAGAATTTAACTGAAAAGTAAAACAAATTGTCAAAATGAATCCAAACTTTCATCGCAATAGGACCTTAAAAAAACACATGATTCAAATTTTCAGTGTGATAGCAGCATTGACATTTGGAAACAATGTATAAACTTTTCCTAATAAGAATAGAATCCATAGGAATATAATTATGCAAAATCCTCCAAATCAGAAACGAGTAAAAAGGAGGAATACTAGCATGCCAGAAAGCAACATTAAGAAAATTTTTAGGCAGAAATTATCTAATCAAATTCTAAACTTGTTTAGTATTAAAGTTACCATCATTGGAACGATTGAACAGAATGCAATATTCATTCTCTAAGTGAATCAAAATCTTGAGAATTAAATTGATAATAAATTCAGGCACCAAATTAGTGTGTAACTCAATGTTCCAACTCTCATAACTAAAAAAAACTCTTAACTTTATAAGAAGAAATAGAATGAGTATATAAAAGATTATCAATCGAATAATCATCCAACCATTTATCTTGCTAAAAATAAATTTCACCAATTCCTAAACCCCATTGAATAAACTCCTCAGCTTCTCATTTAATGTTGCACAATCTTTTCCAGTTAGGAGAATTACTTTTTTTAAAAGCACAACTTAAAGGATGTTTCACACTACAATATTTAGAAATCATAAACTTAAGCCAAAGACTTTTTTTAGCTCTAAAACCATACCAAAATTTATGATTAAAGGTCCTGACCATATCCGTAAATGTTTTAAAACCAAGTTTGCCCTCATCCATAACTCCAGAGCAATTCTTCCAAGAGCCCCAAATAATAGAGTGAGTACCTTCCTTGGAGCCACAAAGAAATTTATTGAATAAAACCTCTATCTCCTATAAACATTTATAGTCAGACACAAAGTGTGGAGCATATAAATAGGGATAGAATAAAGAACATGTTTAATGAGAACAAGTTTATCACCATAAGATAAAAAATTGAAGGTCCAAGAAGTAAATTTCTTATGGATAGTAGAGAAAATATCATCAAATAAATACAATAGTTTCCTACCTTTGTAGAGAGGAGTACCCAGATATTTAAGAGGAAGGAGCCTCTTGTTTAAGCCAATTTTCCTTTCAATGCTATGAATACAAGTATAAGAAATCGACTTAGCAGGAATAAAAGAACTCTTGAAATTATTGAAAGTTAAACCACTAGTTTTCTGAAAAAACCTC